TAACGATGCTCCAATTTGTTTAAGGCAGCAGGCAGAAACAGCTTTGCTGATACATGCCTTGCAAGCTCGGATTAGCGCACTTGTAGGGCAGTTGCGAGAGATGAAGGAAGGATTGGAGGATGTAGAGAGGCGGAGAGTGGTAGGTGCAAGAGAGTTGAGAGGACGAGTGGAGAAGGGAGAGCAAGAGGTGATGAATGTGAGGGTTGAGTTGGTGGCAGCCAATTGGGAGTGGATGAGGGACTCGGTAGAAGCCAAGGAAGAGTTGCAGGGACAATTGGGATCTATTAGGGTGGATTTGGAGGAAGAATTGGAAACAGTTAAGGAGGAGCTGGGGAAATTGAAAGCAGGCAAGAAGGAGTTGGAGGGAGAGTTGGTAGCAGTTAAGGGGGAATCAATAGCTATGAAAGGGGAGTTACTTACAGAGAAAGGGCAATTGATTTGGAAGGACTGCTTGGGGAATTCAAGGATAGAAGGCGTATGTGTCCAGGCTGAGGTGGCAGCGAGTGCGCAGAGGGGCAGGGCCAGCCATCAAAGCATGAGGAGCTTGCTATTGGAGAGCAAATTAGAATGAGCGGGGATGTCAAGTTGTTGCGGCAGGTGTGCATAAATGCTGGCTGCTGAATTGAAAACCCTTCTTTTTTTCTTCCGTCCTCTCTCCCTCTCTCTCTCTCTCTCTCTCTCTCTCTCTCTCTCTCTCTCTCTCTCTCTCTCTCTCTCTCTCTCTCTCTCTCTAATGGTCCGTGTATTGATATAGCAGCAAGGTACAGACATGCAGGTCACGGAGGCATTGGTAATCTAACAAGCAAGGCAGACGTATCACAAAATCTCTCTACAACTCCACCAAGGGCTCAATGACTGCAAAGCAGTCCCCAAGGTGCAACTCGTCCCATACCCCCCCCACAGGCGGGTTCTCTGCTGCTGCAGCCTCCCCTAGTTTGAGCAGGACACCCACTGATTGGGCCCGTTGAAGGGCCACCGACCAACGTTGCCTGCACCGGTGTAGGAACTTTGCAGCATAGAATGATTTGGTGTCGGCGTTGAAGTGGCGCCGAGCTGCAGTATCCGCCAAGAGTTTCAAGAAAATTGGCACCTCCGTGCAAGGGCAGCCGTACGTGTCTACCACGAGAGGGAAAAATTTCACAGTCTCCGGCCGGGCAGCGTAGTGCTTGATTTTCTTGTCCGCCTGCTCCCGCGCCGCCCAGCCCCTGCCCTTCTGCGCCTCCGGGTCTCTGGTGCTAATGGGATCCGTAATGGTGACGTCATACACGTAGACAACACCACTGCTTCTGTCGGTCATTGTTAAGTCTGCTGTTTGTTCCTCGATAGGGCAGTACGCTGTTGACTCGCTATGGACGATGAATCCCGCGTCCTGGGCCATACTAATAGAGGCGTCTCGCAGCTCGTTAAAGGTGTTATGCGGTGCTTGCCCGTGCCGCAGCGAAGAAGGTGGTTAGGGAGGCGGGGGTCCGTGATGGCAGTGTGGTTTGCGGAGTCGCAGTTTTTTGGTGTGGAGAAAGGGAGGGCCAGCCGGAAGCGTACGGCATTGGAAAAGTGAGTGGGCCCTATCCTCCTGTTTGCCGCAATGGGGATAGCCGTTAGCCAATCCCCGGTCCCGTAACCAGTCAGGGAGTACATCTTTTGCGTGTGGCCGTACAAAGGGTTCAGATTCATCTGCCGTGTCTCCTCAACCTGCACGGCATATCTTCTCCCATGTACCTTCAGCGCCAAGGCGTGCTGGAGTCAGATGTTGAAACACTCCAGCCGCTCTTTCTCTAGAATCTCCCATGCGTCAACGCGTAACGCCGCTTCGCACTCGGAAAGCCACGCGTGGAGAGGTGTGGTGATGTCTGCAGGCAGCAGCATGTGGTCCCGGGCCTGCGTTAGCGCGCCATCAGAGACATCCTCTAGTGTTGCCAAGAAAAGCGCGGCCTAAGTGAAACTTGCAGCGTATCCGTATACTCCTTTGATTTAAGGGTCCGTAACGCCTATCCCCCCCAATGATGATGGTAGTGACGCCTGCGCCTAGACGCGTGCTTGTTCAGTGCGGCAGGTGGGAACGCGGATACTGCATGCGGTCAGTAGCGCCGTAAGCAAATCCATCCCCCACTGACTCCAAGTGTCGTGAGGCAGTAGGTGGAGCGGTGTCGTCCTGGTAAGGTATGCCACCCGCCTTGAGATACAGCGGGTGAGCAACAGGGATGCTACATGGGGGTCGGCTTTCTCAAGAAGAGGTAAAGGTTTTGCCATTTCCTGCAGCTGACCCGACAGGAACTGCGATGCCCCGCGGTCCGGGCCCACGAAGCTTCTTAGCAAACGCACGCCGTTCTGGGAAAAAGGCACTCCCTGTGGAAGCTGATCCTTCACTGCTGCTTCTCTGCTGATCCTTCACTGTTGCCGTCTCTCTCAAGCAGTCATGTATTGATATGGGTCACAAGGTACAGGCATGGCAAGTGGTTGTAACTAGCTTGGCTAAGCATGGAAGCAATCAAGAAACTAGAACTAACCAGCAAACAGAGCAAACCCATTCAGCCAAGGCACACAAACACCTAGCTCTCAGAGCAGCCTGGTCCATGGCGGCCCAAGTATCAGAGGACCCCACATTCCACCTATCCCTGGTTACTCCCATACCATAGGACCTTCCCTTATCCTTCTTCACCCCAAAGCATCCTCGCACCTTCCCTAAGACGCCTTCCATCTCCCTAGCCCCCCTGGAACCTCCCAGACTCAGTATTCCTCTTACCGACCCTCATCACGCCCCTATATCCCTCCCCTACCACCACTTAGACTCCCCTTGTCACCGAGTTTCCTTCACCCGGGCCCACTAAGCCGCTCTAGCGGGAGCCTGGCGCTCCTCATACTCGTCCATCTGCATCTGCCAGAGGTCTCCCAGACGGGGTGCCCAAGGGTCCGCCGCAGCCCGAGGGAATGCCGCTTCCGCTGCCCGGTTAGACTTGGAGAGGAGGGATGTCGCTTGGCTGCGTTGGAGCATCACCGACCACCGCTGCCTGTAGTGTGCATTGATACGGGCAGCGGTGGTGGTGAGGCGCCCTAGGCGGTAGTTTTTCTTTGCCGCATAGGTAGCCAACATATGGAGGAACTGTTGAGTGTCAGTGGCTAGCGCCCCGTAGGCCTCAACCGCCACGCCGAAGAAACCAACATAGCCAGGACGCCCCTCGTAGAGCCTGTGCTTGGCCTGTGACGCCTCCTTAGCTGCCCACCCCGGCGGCTTCCGTGCCTTCACGTCCCTCCTCTGTAGGACCGGGTCCGTCATAGTCACATCCGTCGCCCAAATCTCTCCCAACTCTTGGTCCCTGACAGCAAGGTCGGCTCGCTTGTTCTCGAAAGGGGGAGAGATTGCGGTCGTCTCGTGAAAGGTCTTGTACCCGGCTTCCTGCGCCATACGGAGAGCAGCGAAGGCTAGCGCGTTGTGGGTGCGCACAGCATCCCCCCCGTCTGCACACCGTAGCAAGTGGTTCGGCAGGCTTTTGTCGGCTATCTTGGCGTTGGATCTCTTGCAGGGGCAGACCTCCGCCACTGGTAGTTCCATGCCAAGGCGCAGGCCTAGTGCCATGGAGAACTGACCAGGGGAAATTGAGAGGTCAGCCCTCGTTGGCACTGCATGTAGCCAGTCGCCCGCTCCTACTCCTTTCAGGCTGATCAGCCGTATAGCATGGCCTCGGTCTACCCCCAGCCTGTCAGTTACTATATCCGCAAGCAGCTCTTCCGCCCGCGCGTGGTTGATGGCCTTAGATAGCCCCAGCTGCAGATTGCCCACACCCTTGGGGTTCTCCCTATAGCTGCGTAGGACCGCTGCAGCTTCTGCTGGGAGCATCGCCTCGAGCGGTGACAGCGGGTTGACCCGGGGTGGAGGTGGAGCCCATGACGGAGAGAGGAGATCCCCGGCCCTGTGAAGAAGGTATTCAGGTGGCAGGTTCAGCTGCTGCAGTAGAAGGTGTGCCGTTGCAGTTGAGGCTAGGTATGCTGCTGGGGCTTCGGAGATGGGATCAATGATTCCCAGGCCTTCTAGCCTAACCAGGAGAGGTCCCAGCGGATCCCCTTGGCGGACACCCCTGGAGCTTTGGATGTGCTGCAATTCCAAGCGAGGGTCAACTAAAAGCCGCGAGGGACCATCGTAGAGGTTCCTGACGAGCGGGATCAGCGGGTTGAGAGTGGACCACTGGAGGGCGGAGAGGAATGACGCGCGCTCTACACTGTTAAAGGCGTTCTCAACGTCCAGCTGTAGAGCTATGCGGGTCTCGTTGTCTCTAAGGAGAGAGCGAACCGTGTGGATAATACACTCCTCACCTCCTGGACCGCTACGCCGACCTGGACAGGAAGAAAAAACTCCCTGATTTTCGGGCCTAAACTGTGTAGCGCCGCTTTAGCCACCACTCAGAGTAATGCCTCGCCTATTACGATCGGTCTAACTCCTCCCCCAGGCTTCTCTAAAGTTATAAACCGAGAAGGAAGTAGAAGGGCGCGGACCGGTTGGCTCTAGAAAGATCTGGCAAGGCGATTGACCACGTTCGCCAGTAGCAGTAGGATCTCTTCGTTCGCCAGGGCTGGGTCTCGTATGTGTTCAAAACAGCAGCCTGAGGGCCCCGCTCCTACCCTGTTCGGGCATTTCGCGAGGATTTTGCGAAGAGTTTCAACTGGAATACTGAGCTCGGAGTCAGTTATCCCGGTAACCCAGGCTGGTGTTGGAGCGCTAGATGACGGGTGTTTCGCTGGCAGGGCGGATAGCGTCGCAGAGTTTGGTTCGGCGAGGGGGCTCGTATGTAACGCCGCAACCGCCTTTGAAATGTTACCTTTTTTAACCAAACCCTCCGCTATCGCACAAACCCCCTTGTCATCAACTTGGTGCCTTAGCGGAGCACCTGTGTCGCAGATGGTGCAAGCAGCCTCGTACAAACCATCCCAATCTCCCAGCTGGAACTGATGCAGCCGAGCCTCAATTTCAGCCCATCGACTGCCGGCAATTGGCTCTGGTAGCGGGCGCAATGTCAGCCTCGGGAGGTACAGTAGGGTCACCCAAGCACCTGGGCATTCTGGGTTTGTTGACACTCGTAAGAGAGGTGCGAGGAGACATAGGCAGAATTTTTCCAACACTTGAGGTGGCAATCGTCTGACTATGAAAGGTTGGTCTATCTATTGGAGAAGATCCAAAGTCCATGTTTCTGCTGCCTGCCAGATGGCGTCATCCTCTGCCAGGGTGGCCGGCGATTTTACTTTGTTTGTGACCGTGGCAGCTGGTAGAGGCACTCCTTTAGCCTGGGATGTCGCTCCGTCCACTCCCTCTCCCGCTCCTCTCACTCAATTCCGGGCTCTTTCCACTTCCTCCTCGTTATCCAGAGAAATCTCTTTGGACTCTGGGCCAGCTTACTCTCCACACATGAACTCAGGATCCCCAGTGTCTTCAGCAAAACCAGCTTCTTCCCTATTGGCTGCGGCCTCCAAAACCTCCGGGCAGTCGTGACATTCCCACCAAGGGCCAGTTCGTGCTTGGATCTCGGCTCCCCCTAGGCGAGCGACACCCCCGCGCCCTCCCCCTCGCATTCCGCGGCCCATACCGCAGAAACCCCGGCCTGCCGGCGGCGCTGGCCGAGCCGTCGCTTCCAGTCCCGCTCTCCCCGCCGGCATCCACGGGGTACGGCCACCCCTTGGTGGACCCCACGTGACAGCTCTCAGCCGAGCCGAGCGACGAGTGGTGACGGCTGCTGCGGTTGGAGCGACTGGGCCTGGCGGTGAATGCATGCGCGTTTAATTGTCCTGGTTTGGAGCCGGCTGCTCTGCATGGCGGGTTGCCGTCGTCTCTATTGCTGCTTCATTGAGTCCAGAAACCCCTCGTGCCTCTTGCGTGTGCGCAGATGATTTCCGATGCGCTCGCTCTGATGGCAGTTGCCCTTGCAGAAGCCAGCCCCGGAGGGGTCCCGGGGAGCCAGGTCCCAGCCCTGCTCCGGGCCGTCTCGGTGCTGGCTGGGCCCGTAGCTTCTTCTTTGACTTCGCCCGTGCATCGCTAGAGGAATCGCCGTTTGCGGGTCCTGTAAACTCTCCCACTGCCTGGCCGTGCTTCTGCCTGCTTGCGGCCACGGCAGCAGCAGGCATTTCGGCGCACGCAGCGGCACTCGTCGCGCCTTCCGCCGTCGGGGCGTCACCCTGCTCCCCAGTCGCAGCAGACACCACCGCCGCCAGCACAGCTGGCGTCACCGGTGCCGGGGACGCAGACAGCGCCACCTCCGCGGTCTGTTCCGGATCCGCCTCCAACCTCCTCCCCTCAGCCTCCACCTGTGCAACCCGTGGGATGGCAGAGGGTGAAATTGAGCCGGCGTCAAAGGCAGCGGCAGAAACCCCAGCAAACACCAGGATAGCAGCCCTCTCCGTTGCAGGCACAACAGCATCACCAGCCACAGACTACCCCGCCGCCGTCGTCATCATTCTGGGTAGCACAGCAGCGGCCAGCTCAATCTCTGCTCCGTCGGTTTCCTTTGCCCCTTCGTCCGCAGCACCAATTGGGGCCGGTAACGCCTCCCGCCCTGCCTCCTCCCCTCGCCGTGGTTCTTGGCGAGCCTCCAACTCTTGTCGAGCAGCGCGTGATGCACGTGGGGACTTGCTTGACGCTCTTGTCGTATGTGCTCGACCAGCTTCACGTGACCCTGCTGCAGCAGGAAGTGCAGATTGAGGCGATGCAGCCAGCGGCGCAGTCAGCTGCGGTATCGGCAGCGGAGGAGTTGCAGCATTACCTCCCCCTGATTGGCTTTGTGCCGGGCTCCCCTGGGGCTGCCCTCGGGCCTGGCCCTGGAGCTTTGGCGCAGCTTGCCGAGTCTGCCCAGGACGACCCGCTCGACCTTGTAGCCGCAGCCGCGTCTGTCCTATACTGGCTGGACGGGCGGCTTTGTTGGATCCTGGTTGAGTAGGTGCTGCCTTCCCCTTGCCAGCCTGCCGTGTGCTAGGCCTGGCTTTGGGCTTCCCCATGGTGGTGTAGGCACGCCTGGGGGTGTTGTTGTTGTTATGTGTTGTCTAGCACAACCTGTTGGACTGCTCCATGCTATAGTCCTTGTTCCCTTGGTCCTTGTCACACCTCATGCAACCGAAGGCGGCCGGCGCAAGCTGCCGGTTTTGGAGAGTGAAATAAACTCACCAGTGAAGAATGAGCTCAAAAGGGTGCATCTACTAGGAGACTAGGCTAAAAACTGCTGAGGACTGGATTCTACACTAGAGAGGGCTAAAAACGGCTAAGGACTAGTCCTAAGCCATCTCTCCCTCTCTCTCCCTCTCTCTCGAGCGAGCCGCCGGTTTTGGAGAGTGAAATGAACTCACCAGTGAAGAATGACTGCTCAAAAGGGTGCATCTAGGGACTTAATACTAGGAGACTAGGCTAAAAACTGCTAAGGACTAGATTCTACACTAAAGAGGGCTAAAAACGGCTAAGGACTAGTCCTTGATAGCTGGCGCCCCGACGGGCGCGGGAGAGAGAGAGAGAGAGAGAGAGAGAGAGAGAGAGAGAGAGAGAGAGAGAGAGAGAGAGAGAGAGAGAGAGAGAGAGAGAGAGAGAACGGCGGGGGTCAGTGATAGCTGTGTGTTCGGCGCAGTCACAGTTCTTTGGGGTTGAAAACGGTAGCCCCAGTCGGAAACGTACGGCGTTGGCGTAGTGTACTGGACCTATCCGTCGTGTGGATTTGATGGGGATTGCAGTGAGCCAGTCGCCGGTGCCGTAACCCGTCAAAGAGAACATCCGCTGCGTATGACCCTTGAGCGGATTCGGTTGCATACGCCTTGTAGGCTGGACCTGCACGGCGTATCTGCTTCCGTGGACCTTAAGATCGAGCACGTGCTGGAGCCTCACGTCAGACCGTTCGAGCCGCTGCTTCTCCAGTATCTCTCTTGCATCTAGAGGCAGGGCCGTATTGCACTCCATGAGCCACGTGTGTAAGGGCGTGTCGGTGACCCGCGGCAGTAGCATGTGATTCTGCGCTAGTGCCAGGGCGTTCCATGGATCTAGCGTGAGGGAGGAGAGAAGCAGCGCCGCCTGCGTGAAACTTGCCGAAAAACCGTATATCTCCTCTGTCAGAGGTCAGTGATGCCAATGCCTCCAAGCGATGGTGGCAGCGATGCTTGCTCCCAGACTCACGTTTGCTCGGTCCTACAAGTGGGGACGCGTATGTCGCATGATGTGAGCAGGGCGGAGAGGAGGTCCCTTCCCCACTGGCTCCATTTTTCGCGGGGGAGAAAATGTAGGGGCGTCGTCCTAGTGAGGTAAGCTACCCGACGAGAGATACATTGCGTGATGAGCAGTGACGCTACTTAGGGGTCTGTTTGTTCGAGAAGGGGTAACGGCTTCGCCATCTCGTCGAGTTGATCCGCTAGATACTTAGCCGCTCCACTATCCGGCCCCAGGAAACTACCCAAGAGCCTCACACCGTCAATTGAAAGCGGCACTCCATGCGGGAGTTGAGCGTGCTTGACTGCACTCGATCGCCAGGGTGTGCACTTCTGTGGCTTGTGCGTAAGGCCCAGCTGTGCCAGCTTGTCAGTGAAATTGTTGAAAGCCGCTACAGTGTGCGCTATGTCACCCAGAAAGGTGACGTCGTCTGCATACGCCAAACAAAGCACGTTGGGGTGTGTCTCTGCAACTTCGCGGAGGGTGGTGTGTATCCCTGCTGCAAACAGAAGTGGGCCCAGGGGGTCGCCCTGGCGAACGCCTCGTTCACTTGTAAGTGGTTCGGAGTTGAAGTTGGCGTCCAGGAGCAGTTGCGACGGGTTACCGTACGTAAATTTCACTAGCGGCAGCAATGGCGAGAGGGCGGGCTCCTGTAACGCGGTGGCGATGGCTTCACGCGAAATGCAAATGAACGCATTCAAAATATCCGGCTGCAGGATCAGGCTATCCGGGCGTGCATCCAAGTATGCCCTGGCTGCGTGGATTACGGCCTCTGCACCACCTGGCACTGCCACCCCGAACTGTAGAGGTAGAAAAAATTCACGGGCCGCCTCTCCCATGGCCTGTAGGGCAGCCTTGGCTGCCAGCCTCATCAGGCATTCGCCAATCGCGATTGGCCTTGCTCCTCCCCCCGGCTTGGCGAGGGCTATAAGTCGTGACGTAGTCAGTAGGTTCGCGACCAAGCCTGGTAATTCTCCACCCAGCATGGTGTTAACCAAAGCGTGCAGATGGGTGCTGACCATTGCATTTGTAATTGCCGCGTCGCGTATGTGCTCGAATGTCATGCCTGACGGTCCGGCTCCCACCCCATTTTCGCATCTGCCCATAATTTTGGCGAAGTCGGGGTAGGGGATTGACAGCTTTGACCCCTGCGGCTCAGGCCATGTCAGCGCCTTGTGTTCAGCACGAGGGTGCTTCTTTCGCAGCTCCTCCAAAATTTCCGGGCTAGGAGTGCAAACTGGCGTTGACTCCAGGGCCAGCACAGCCCGAAGCAGACTGCCACATTTCGCGAGGCCCTCGGCACGACTGATGACTCCTATCGTGTCAGGCTGGTGTTTTGGCGGTGGTGGTGAGTTGTCTGCGTCCAACGCATCCCTGTATAGCTGCTCCCATTTGCCACGCTGGAAAGCCCGGAGCCGGGCTTTCACACGTGGCCAGTTCGGTCGCTGCAGGGAGGTCTCGCAAAGTGTTAGGCGCGGGAGAAACAGTAGCAGGCGCTAGGCCGTTTCGAATACGGGGTTTCACGATAAGTGCAGTAACGGTGTCAAGAGTGCTAGCGAAAACAGATGGCACAGATTGGGCGGTAAACGGCGCGATAGTGGTGGCTGACGACTGTCGCAAAGAGTTGCGGTGTCCCAAGTCGCAATGGCAGCGAACAGGTCTGTCAACTTCGCTAGTTCATCTGGTGAAAATTAGCGGGGATTTGGTGGTGGAGGGCGTGTCGCACTACCCGCAGCTGTGTTTCGATTTCGTCCAGCGCAGCTCGGCCTTGCTGTTGGGCTCAATGTTGGAGTTGGAGTCGTCCGATCGACATCGGACGGTGCTCGGGCCATCTGTGGTACTTGCAATTCCGCCTGTTCCACCACCTCTTCCCTTCTCCTTGGTCCTTCTCTCGCCATGCCTTCCCCTTCCGTCAACTCCTCACTCTCGGGGAGGGCTTCTTCCCTATAAGATGGGTCGTCCCGCTCATCTTCTTCTTCATTAGTTTCTTCAACGTTGTTTAAAGCCACACGCGCCGCCGCCTAATACCCATTCTCTGGCCCTTCGCCTGTTCCGCTTACGTTTTCTCTCCTCGCCACGCGGTTACCCCGCTCTAGGGATGGTGATCGCCGGAGCACCTGCGCCGTTGCCAGAGCTCGTTGCTGCCTCGTCGGCTGTGGTCGCCATGCCTCTGGCGGAGCCCGGAAGGGCGACCATGGCAACGAAGCCCCCTCTACCGCCGGCTCCGAAACCCATGATAGCAGTCTCTGAAAAGACTCCTCCCCACGCACCCGCGGATCCCCTTTCTGGGCCGGGGGCAGAACCGTCCGAACTCGCTGCTGTTCTGCCTGCGGCCCCCGGTCCCCTGGCTCCCCTTGTCGGGCCGTCGACGTCTGCCCATTCTAGGGGTGTTGCAGAATCCCCGGCACCTGTCCCTGACGCCCCTACTGCGCCGACCGCTTCTATCCCCTGCCTGCCCGCGCAGGCCTCTTCTTCGTCACCAAAGGCGGCGTCCGCCACCACAGGCGGGCCGGCTTCGTCAGTTGCGCCTGCGGTTGCAGGCCAGTCCGCCCTTGCTGTGAAGGCGGTGGCTCCTGCAGGCCAGCCGTCGCGCCCTCCACCGCTTGACCGCCGCTCGTCACGCCCCCATTCCCCCGCTCCCCATCAGGACCGCAGGTCCTCTCGTCGCCGGCGTGAGTGTCCTCGGCGGTACCAGCAGCAGTGGCACTGGCCTGCTACCCCCGGGGGTCACGGGGATTGGAGGGGTCCCCGTGCTTTTGGCAGGGGTGGGGGGTATCGGGTGCCTGTAAGGATGGCGGATCTCCAGCGGGAAGTGTCGAGGGCGGTTCGGGAGGAGAGGGCGGCACAGAGCCAGAGTGTTTCGCCGCGCGCCTTGCCAACCCACGAGTCTCCCCGTTTAGCTGCTCCTCCTCCAAACTTGCAGCCTGTTGCTGCGCCTCCACCTCAGGTCCAGGCGCCACCTGCTCCTTCTCCCGCTGTATCGGCCTTTGCTCCCGGGTCTCGTCTCCATCTGCCGCCGCTTCCGCCCGTTGCGGGAGTGGAGTTTGTGTCAGAACATATAGTTTGTGCTTATTGTGTAGGCTATAGTGGGGTAGCCCATAAGGGGTACAACCCAATTAGGGTTAGTACTTGTACTCAGTTCATTCATAGTTCAATCATTCTCGTTTCAGTTTTCTCATGGTATCGAGCAGGTTCCCTAGTGGGAACTGTTCCTAGGGCCCACCAAGTCAAAACTTTTTTTTCTGCCCGGAGCGCGCTCAGCCCAAGTCGCGCTCCTCTCTCTCATCTCGTCGAGCCGCCCTAGCGACTGCGTCGCGCCGCCCTAGCGGCCCCGTCGCCTTACGGCCCCGTCGCCCTAGCGGCCCCATCGCCCTAACGGCCCCGCCGCCCTTCGCTGCGGCCCCGCCGCCCTTCACAGCGGCCCCGCCGCCCCTCGCTGCGGCCCCGCCGCCCTTCACTACGGCCCCGCCGCCCTTCACTGCGGCCCCGCCGCCCTTCACTGCGGCCCCGCCGCCCTTCACTGCGGCCCCGCCGCCCTTCGTTGCGGCCCCGCCGCCCTTCGCTGCGGCCCCGCCGCCCTTCGCTGCGGCCCCGCCGCCTCTCTCGCTGCGGCCCCGCCACCTACCTTGCGGCCCCGCCGCCCTTTGCTGCGGCCCCGCCGCTCCTCTCGCTGCGGACCCGTCGCCCCTCGCTGCGGCCCCGCCGCCCCTTCCGCTGCGGCCCCGCCACCTACCTTGTGGCCCCGCCGCCCTACCA